TGTCGGCAGAGCGAGTGTGCTCAGAGCACTGGGCGGGCGGGTGCCTGGAAGCTGGGGACAACCAGGAGGCCACTCTGAGGCTGCAGGTACCTAAGGGTCAAGGCCAGGACCAGGTAGGGTCTCAGGGACAGAAGTGATACTTATGGAGGGTCTGCCACCAGATGGCAACTGAGGGCATGGGGTAAAGGACACCCCCAGTTCCAAGCAGGGGAGACCATCCTGCTTTGGGTCTTTTAAAAACCATCAGCAAATGGTTTTTCTCAATAAGAAGCCTCTAAGGCTCTGGCTGTCAGGCACAGTGGGGAAGAAAAGCAGTTTCCAGTTTCTGGAAAACTAGGATACCCCTGTTATGTTTTAAACAGTGCTGAATTTTGCACAGACGCAATGACACGATCAAGGATATAGCTTCTGTTTAAGAACTAGGCAGTACATAAATATCACAGATGTTCTGCGCAAGATTAACAAGCGACGCTGGAACACTGAAGCCTTGACTCATTTGGAACTAGAATCCTAAGTTCTGTGAACTGGGCAACGCCATATGGCACTCACTGAGAAATACTTCATCGTATTGTAGTCTTGACTTTCAATGACCGAGACCCAAGAATCTACCATCCAAGACAGGCTCTGCTGAGACCCAGTGAGGTTGGGGGACTGTTAATAGTCACCTCAGACTTACTGGGGAGGAAAATTGGACATATGGGCACCCCCATATAACTAACGTGCTTTCGTTCTGAGACTGTGATTTTAGTAATGAATTTAGCTCATGGGTCCCCACATCCCCCTTCCCAGGGAGGTGTCCTGGACACAGCCCGTGAACCCCATGGCTGAAAGGGACCCCATTGTCCAAAATGATTGCCGCCGTCTCATGACACATCCCTGGTCTTGGGCTAGGATGGCCAGACTCAATCTCCAGAGCTGTGACCATGAGGAAGTAATACCATAGGCCCTCTTCTCTGGACTGGTTTTTCCTTCCCCCAAAAGCACTTAATGAAAGAAAACAATTGCTTTTTATTTAAATGGATCCTGCTGTCGCTCACCTGGTACTCTTCTTTCCTTCCTCCTGGCTCCGCTGGAAGTGCTGGGACCGGCTGAGGCAGGCTTCCTACAAGAGGAGAGAGAGCGACCTTGTTCAACCTTGTTCATCGTAGCCCAGGAAGCACAGGGGGCCCTGAGGTACCTCCACCAGCTGGGGCTCGGGCTTACTCGGGACGGCCCAGTCCCAGTGCCGCCTGAGGACAATCTCAGGAAGGCTGGGCCACCTCAACGGGAAGAGTGACACAGGCAGCTGCCAGCCCCGGCCACTTGGGCAACACAGCGTAGCTGAACACCTGAGCTGAGAAGGGACGAGTGACAAGAGCCGTGTGGAAGAGATCGCGCAGCTGTGCTCCGTGTCGACCATCTGAAATCAGCCACGGGTTCGTTCGTTCCCCAGACGTTTGTGTGCCTGCTGCGCGCCTCTGGGGACGCAGCGGTGAACAAAGCAGGGTTCCTCCCCAGAGGGGGAAGATCAGCATGTTCCTCAACAGGCAAGTGTCGAGTGGCCCAGGCAGGTACAGAGCTGGGGGGATGGGTGTGACAAAGTGCAGCAGGCTCAGGTACGTGACAGAGGACATCCTGAGACAATGGTTCAACAAGGGCCTGGGCACTGGGGTGAGAACACTGTGGACACAGGAATTGAGCAACCTTATGGTTTAATTACAGAAGATGAACAGGGACACGAAGTCAGGGAGGACAGTTGGGCCAGGCTGTGAGAGTCCTGAATTCTAGCTTAAGGGCTCAGCCCTGTTCCTACAGCCCAGGGCTGGGCAACCTTTCTCTGTAAAGGGTCAGATGGTGAATATTTATAGCTCTGTAGGTCACCTGGGCACTCTGTGTTAGGGTGGGGGTTCACAGCAGGGGTTGAAGAAAGATCTTTCACAGAGAGTTTAGGATAGAAAGAAATAGAATGTTTATTTTTTCAAGAAAGAGACAGAGAGAAGGAGGGCGTGGCCACGGCCCCTAAAGGAGGAGTGAAAGTGCAGGCAGTTGAGGAAAGTTGTTTGGCTTTTAAAGGGTAAAAATGGGGTTTTTCCCTCTGCTTCAGTAGCCTGAGAACAGAGGTGGTGGCAAAGCTGTGTAGGTGTTTTTTATTTCTTTTTCTCTGAGAAACCAGCTTATCTGAGTCTTTGAAATCAGTTTTGGGCAGGATCTGAGGCAGAGAGTTGGAGTGGGGAGCTCGCATCCCCACTATCCGCTTAGGGCCTTTCGAGGTTAAGGAAAAACTCGTACCGAGTTAGACCACAGGTGTTTTAATTAAAACAAAGGGTAGTTGTGGTGTGAGTTTTTCCTTTAAAGGGGCAATTACGTGTTGTGAGTTATTTTTCTTGCTTTCAGTTTGATCGGTTGCTAGTAAGGCCACTGTTTACTCTAGCTTTCACCAGCAGCCTACAGGGGGCTGAGCCCTGCTGTGGCAACAGGGAGATGGGGAGGAGATGGACAACGTCAGAGCTGGGCTTCAGGAAAACCACCAGCAGCTGGTAGGAAGACGGGCTCTAATGTTCCAGGAGGACAGGGACCAGTCTGCTGTTGCTCCTTACTGGACCCGACGGCCTGTGTATTAAGTCTGTCTGGGCTGCAAAATACCAAAGACTGGGTGGCTTAAGCAACGTGTGTTTATTTCTCAGCGTTATGGAAGCCAGAGGCTGAGCTCGAGGTGCTGGCAAGGCGGGTTTCATTCTCGGGCCTGTTCTCTTGGCTTGTAGGTGGCCGCGATCTCCCTGTGTGCTCACATGACCTCTAAGGGCGCACGAGCAGAGTGTCAGCCAGTGAGCTGTCTGGTGTCTCTCCCCGTGGGATACGGATCCTACTGGATCTGAAGACATTACCGATTGTCACACAAAGGGGGAGCGATGGGCACAGTGGTGGAGGCCAAGGACGCTGCTCAACACCCTGCAATGCACAGGAAGCCCCCATCACAGAGGATGATCCAGTCCGAGATGTCAACAGCGCTGAGGCTGAGAGCCCCTGCCATGGTGAGTGGGTGCCTGGAAGCCCGGGACTGAAGACACGGAAGGACTTAGAAGGTGCCGCAAACTCCTATCAAGAAATAAGGACCGCGCTTCCCGCGCGATTCTAGGAGGGGTGGACTCCGGACTCGCCCCGAGAGCCCCCACTCCCCAGCTGTACCGCCCGGTCCGCCCCGGCCCTCGGCCCCACACATCCATGCCCGCGGCGCCTCAACTCACCCAGCGCCGCGCTCCGAGGAATCCGCCATTTTCCCGCCTTCCACTCAGAGACGGCTTTTCTCGGCCGGCCCCGCCCCCGCTCTGCGGGTCGGACCAATCGCAGAGCTGTAGGAGGAGCGACGAGGGCCGTACTGCGCACGCGCCGCCTTTCCTCTCCTCCTCTCTCATTTGGTCTTGCCCACGAGCGGCCGGAGGTAGCGGCGGCGGCGGGTGTCTAGGAAGGGGCGTGGCGTTCACGGCGCTCCGCCCCGTGACGCGCTCGGCGTTTTTCCCGGCCCCTCTCCTCCGGAACCCGGGAGCGCGCGGGGAAGCGGCGGGCGCAAGGGGCAGAGCGGCCTGAGGCGCGGCGGGCGGGCTTGCTGGCGGGCGTCCGGGCGGGGACCCGGCCCGCGACCGGCGGCGCGGGGCGGCCGAGGCCCAGGTGAGTCCCAGGCGGCCGCGGCTTGGGGATTCGAGCTCCAAGGGCGCGTTGGGGGCTGCAGAGAAGAGAGGGACGGAGCCCTGAGGGTGACCGGGACGCGACGGCAGGGGTCCAGGGGGTGGGAACCAGCCTGGGGGTCGTGGGGAGGCTGCAGGCGACGAAGTGGAAGCGAGACGAGCGAGAAGAAAGTTGGTTGGGATGGGGGCTGGTGAGGGAGTTTGCGGGCGTGGGAGGGGTGAGTCTTGTGGCTTTGAGCAGCTTCTGCGAAGAGGACGTGGCTTAAGTGGTAATTGGGGGGTCGCAGGAAACGAGGTTTGGGGAGGCGAGGAGGCGGGGTTGAGAGGCCCAGGCTGGGGGAGGGGCCCGGGCTGATGGGGGAACAGCTGGGGAGCGGTGGGGGGTGTAAGGCTGGTGGCAGGCACCCCTCTCCGCTCCCTAAAGCTGTGAAAGAAGAAGAAGCTGACTGTGCCCGCCGAAAATAACTGGACGCAGACAATAAGCCAGACGCAGGCAGTTTCGGTTCCTGGGACTGAGCAACAGACTACGTGTCTCGGAACCTGCCAAGACCCTCAGTGCCGCTTCATGCAGCATAAAAAGCCCTAGCCCCCTCCGAACGGGCGCGACTTCACTGGCCCCCTCTCTCGGGACCAGTGAAGCTCGTCCGGGAGTGCTCTCTTTCCCCTTCCCCCAATAAAGCCTCGTTGCTTGCCCCTTTTCACGCTGCTCGTCTTTCTTTCTCTGCCGCCGCCCATCCAAAAACCTTCCGGGGAAAGGGGTGCAGGACCGGTCTGGGGGAGTCCACCCGCGCGATTGAAGCGCCAGAGGAAGGGCGCCTGGCACCCAGTGGGCGCTCAATAAAGGCAAGAGGTTCTGAACCCACTGATGTGGCAGCGACTGCTGGGAAGGGGGGAAGTGGGGCTGGAAGGGAGAAAAGAGGGTTAGAAGTCATGGCAAGAACCGAGGGAGGTCCAGGCGGGGCCTGGAGAGGAGGGGAGAGAAGGAAAGGGCTAGAATGCCCCATGCAGATGTTGGGGTGCAGCTGCTGGAGATTCCACCCCCCATCTGTCTTGATTCCTCTCCTTCCTGACTTCACACCCAACAGCTGGGTGACCCAGGCAAGTCCCAGCAGCCTGTGTAGCAGTCGCCTGGTCTTGGAAAGTGCACCACTCTCCTCTTAAAACTGGCAGGATTCGGGGGTTCCAAGGAGCAAGGAAGGAGCCTCAGGGCTTGCAGTGGGGCCGGAACTGTGTTTCAGGAGGGCGGGAGCCGGTGTGTGCTCACCCGAGTGTGCAGGGCTGTCACCACCTCCACGGACTTGCATCCTTGGACATAAGTGGGTAAAAAGACATACAGGAAATCTGTCCCCAAGCGGCTGTGAGCTCGGTCCTGGAGAGGCTGGGCAGCTGTGTGCCCTCCCTTCTTTCCTGGGCACCCCATAGTCCTGGGGTCTTTAAGGGAAGACCTCTCTGTGCCTCTTTGTCTGAGGCGGCAGCTGGTGGGGACAATGTGCTTTGCAGCCAGAGGGTCCCAGCTCCACCTTCCCGAGTTCGTTTTTGGTCTTCAGGTCTCCAGAGTCTTAAGGTGTCCAGGAGCAGCGAGCCGGAGGTGACGTGGCAACTGGAGAGTTATTTCACCGTCTGGCAGGTCTGACTCTGGCTCTGGCAAGGGCCTTGGTTGTTTTTATCGGCATTAATGTGTCTCCTTTGCCGACTGCAGGGATCTTTGTCAGGAGCTGCCAGAAGTGCTGGGGAGCCCAGGTGCGTGTCTGGTTTATTATAGCAGGCTCAGGAGGCGAATCTGCATAGTTTGGATATAGAGAGAGTCAGGGATGTAATCACCTGTTCCACTTCTAAAACGCTCTGGCTTTTATGAAAGGTGGCTTTGGGCCTTGCTTGCTCAAGGGCACGATTACAGCCCACAGTCGTGCCTCCCGCAGACATGAGTAGGGACTCGCCCTGGCCAAGACACTCTGATGATCAGGTCTGGAGTCTTCTGATCCCAGGGCCCCGGTATTGCGTCCTCCCTGCTGTAGGAGTGTGCCTAGGCAGGGTCTCGTGTGTTGGAGGTCCTGGCCTCGGTCAAGTCTCTGCCTGTTTCTGCGCCTGCAAAATGAACGGCTTGGCCTCCATCAGCATTTTTCAACCTCGAAACGCAGCCCCTCTCAGTAGCATTCTCGTCTCCAGTACACACGCCACTTGGACTTTACACAGCCCCTGACTCTCAATTCTTTGCTACAGTGATCCTACTTTAGTACGACTTTCCGTGCAACAGTTCACATGCAAGAGCGACGTTTGATGACTTCCTTATCTTCCACATAGGAAATCATGGTGCTGAATGAGCTTCGGCACGTTGCACCTGTTCCCAGAGCTTTGGCCGCAGCCTTCTGGTTGGAAATCCTAAGCAAGGCCCTCCCTCAGGTCCTGCATGGTGACTCCCCCGTTCCTGTTTGGCT